ATATATATATATATATATATATAATCTTCCAACTGTATTTTCCACTCCATGCATCTGATGAAGTGGGCTTTAGGCCATGAAAGCTTATGCTCAAATAAATTTGTTAGTCTCTAAGGTGCCAAAAGTATTCCTCGTTCTTTCTGTTGATACAGACTAACACAGCTACCACTCTGAAACCTGTCCTAGCTATGGTACTAGCATAGAGTAAGGATAGAGAGTTGATTTGGGGCTTTCCGAGGAGCCTCATGGTTATAACTGGGTACCACAGCCCCTCAGGAAGGCCAGATGGGATCATGGCAGATGGAGGTTGTACAGAAGGGACCAGGTATTTTTCCTTAGAAGGGATTCTCCTTCCAGTAACTGTAGGGAGAAATCAGCATCTTCATGTGCTGAGGAGTTCCCTCCGAGAACCAGGTTATGGGCTGGGTAGAGGAGAGGCTGGGCAGGGCTGCAGGGAATTCAGTTAGGAATGCAGGTAGCAGCATCTGTGAGAAGCAGGAGAACTGTGAGGTGAATTGCCCCCATGGTACAAAGAGTCAGCTGTAAAGAGGAGAGTAGACATCTGTTGTGAGTGCTGGGCAGGGCCCTATAGGCTTACTCATGGTGTATAACGGCACCAGTGACTCTGGGCTCTATGGGAGACAGTCCTGGAAGCTACGTGTCCATTATTAGGAAGAAGGTTGAAATCCAGGGCTTCTGCAGTAGGTTTCTCTGTCAGGACCCCAGTTCCAGCCAGTCAAGAAGCCCTATGGAGACTCTGTACATGGCTGAGAAGATGGCGCAGAGAAGGGAGCTGCAACTTCATTAAGCAGGAGGGGTCCCTTTGGTGAGGGGAGAAGCAAATGACCACAATGGCCTCTTTGGGTCTTAAAACTCTACATATCTATAGACCCATAAGACAGGCTCCATTTAGCCACAAGAGAACCAGATTGGCTGGCCATTACAATTCAGTTTTCCAGTGAATTATTTTTCCTGCAGGGCCCTGGCCACTTTCAGTGCCCAGGATGGATAAATTGGGGTTGTGCAGCCTCAGGCTGTTGCCTGTATGACCCCTGCCTCATTCACTTTAGAAACTGGAAGGCCTGTAGAGAATGAGCAGGGGAGCGCAGGAAGAACTAGGATGATCTTGTTAAAAGCAGTAACTGTCATTCAGTTGAGCTCAGTTCTGTTCCTGCCTCTGCCGCAGACTTCACAGGTGATGCTGAGCAGGTCTCTGAAGCCAGTTTTTATGAAATGTGATTTGCAGAAGTACTGAGCACTCACAACTGCCGCTAGGGTCAAGACAAGATGTGGCTGCTCAGCTCTTCTGCAGTCAGGCAGTGTGGCCAGGTGGAATGAGCACAGGGCTGCGAGTCAAAATATTCATTTTTATCCTGGCTCCGCTGCTGACTCATTGGGTGGCCTTGGGCAAGTCACTTTGCTTTTCTCAGTTTCACCAGCTGTAAAATGGAGCTAATACTAATACTTACCCACCTGCTTTCCTGGAGTTCTGTGAGGGTTTATTAATGTCTGGACAGTACTTTGAACACATAAAGCTCTACAGAAATGGTGAGTACTCTGAAGAATCAGGCCCTGAGGGTCTCAGGTTGGTGCTCAATCACTCCAAATAAGTAGCAAGTTTGGAAGTTTGGCTTTATTCATTGTATGTAACATTTTCAAAAGCAGCTAAATGATGTAGGAGCCTAAGTGCCATTTTCAGAAGTGATTTACGCTACAAGAAGGTGAAGTTTTCAGAGTTCTTCGGCTCCTACGTTACTGGAGAAAATGGGATTTAAGTCCCTAAGTCACTTAGGCACTTTTGAAAATGTTATTCTTAGGCTTCTAAGTGCCTAAGTCACTTTTGAAATGGGCATCATAAGAATCTGCTATCTCCCAAGGGTGTTATGAAGACAAATTAATTAATGTTTGTGGTGCACTCTGATACTACGGTGACGAGCACCATAGAAAAGCCCATGAAGAAATTAATAATTCTGTATTCAGTGCAGTGTTTGTACGGTATGTAGAGTGAGTAAGGCCCTGGGTCACAGGTTAAATGATGAGGCTAAAAAGCAGTAATCTACAGCTCCCTCAGCTCCTGATCACCATCCTCCCTGTGCAGTAAAGGAGGCAGGAGCTGGTGGGATGGAGGGGAATAATAGGCCATGTACATGCAATTAGACTGTGTCATAATGTATATGCAGAAGGGAGGGGGAGGGCTGAATTAATATTACATGGGTAACATTAACTCTGATTTTTCTTAATTTTTGTGCATTTGGCTTTGATTAATAACACTGTTTATTTTTTTAATGTTTTTATAGAAGGAAAATATTAGAGCTGGTCGACAACCCAATATTTTTCCTCTTAAATACAGTACGATAATGCAGTATATCAACTTTTAAACACATAGAAGAGATTGGGATGTGGAAATGGAATGAGAATTTTTGTTTAGATTCTAACTAAAATGTTGATTCATTTAAACTTTTTGAAAATGAAAAAATCAATTTTCCTTTTCATATTTGGATTTACAAGTTTCCCCCCTATCTCCCGCTTTCTATTTTTTCATCTTTTCTTCCACTGTAAAAAGTTAGAAAAAAATTAAAAAGTGTAAAAAAACAGGGGGGGGGAAATCTTTTGATTTGTTTTTTCAACTGGAAAGGTATGGAAAAATGTTAGAAAAAAATATTGAGATAAAGTGTTACTTTCTCTGTGGCATGACACCAAAAATACCCTCAGGGACTCAAGTGAGAGAAAGGAAATGTTTATTTCTAGCAGTTTATAATTCAGCCAAACTTGGAAGGGATTTCCCTGCACTAGGGGGAGGCACTTCCCTGGCCCCATCATTACCCCTTCCCCAATTGCAAAGGCCTGCTGCAAACAGTGAAGGCATACAAGCTTCTCAAGAAGGTGTTGAGAGTATTTTATAATAGAAAGTGTGAAGCAACCTCCATATTGGGAATTGCTAGTAGCTCTCCCTCTAATTACTATAGCAGTGATTTGGAGAAGGATGAGGACAGTGAATTGGTGACATTTATGAAACCCAAAGGACAAAGTACTGCCAATGCTCCACTGCCCTGTGGAAGGACAGACTTGTTGATGTTTTTTACTGGAGAATCCAGGGCATTCCCAGGTCATCACTATTCTTTTAGTGATAATATTTACTTTATTTTTATTTTTAATACATTTACCATTATTATATGTGGTTTAGGATCTAGTTCCCCCTCCCCTTACTGTGCCCTGAGGTTCCCCTGCTCTAGGGTCAGTGTCACACACTGAGGGGCAGGTGTCCTTAATCCAGCATTACACTTACCTGAGCAAACCACACTGGCATCATTGTCATGGGAGCACTGAGAGGCCCCCAGGGCAGTAACAGGGCAATGGCCCAAATGGGGTTCAGTTCCTTTACAGTGAAATGTGTCTGTCCAGACAGAGCCAGTGCCCCTCCCAAAATACCCTCCTCCTGGGGCTGATAAAGCAAATCCGCAGTCAAGCTGATGACAGAGAACGTTGGCATCTGGTAAATCCCAGCGTGAGTCACAGAGTGTTCCCCAGGCACCAAGAACCTGGATCTCCACCCTCCCTGAGCACGCTGTGCTGCCGTTCACCAGCCGGAGCCCTGTGTGCCCAGGGGAGAAGGGAGAAGGGGTTTAGAGAGGGAACCTTGGAGCTATTTTATAACAAATAGTTAAAGAAAGGAAAGTCGGGGCATTAGACCCGATTCTAGTTATCTTGGATCATTTGTGTTTTACGAGAAGCTGGTGCTATCTTATTACCCTCGCTCTCTACACAGTGAGATCTGTATATTGCTTCACCCTAATATAGAATTCACATCACTGGGATTTTAAAGACTTTGCATTGAATTCTTACGTGAGCATATGACTCCAGCATCATTTGCGTGTGAGCATGTCTGACTGATGTCCAATATCCTGGGACAGTACGCATGGTGGGACTCATTTCCCGCACACTGGAACGCTTCAGTCCAGATTGGTCCATGTCCTTCTCCAAAGTGAGCTCCTCCTGGGATAGATAGAGCTGTTCCACATTCTAGTTCATTACAAATAACGTTGGCAGTTTTGAGATCAAAGTGGGCATCACAGACTGTGGTCCATGTTTCTCCATCTCTTATTTCCACACGTCCTGAACAGGCACTATGCCCTCCAACCAGCCGGGGCATAATGTGCCCTAGAAATTCAATGAAGACAGGAATTTACAAAGGGGCCTCAGGGAGTTAGATGCTCGACGGCCATAAAATTTTGGCTGAATGCCAATCATGGTGCAGTGGCACAGTGCAGGCAGCAATTAGAAATAAAAAAGCAATATATAACAAATGGAAAACAGTAGTATTATATAACAATCAATACACATTAGATGTTATGATGTGTAAAAAATTGATAAGAGAAACTAATGATATCAGGGAAAAAAATCATGGGTTCCTGTGCTAAGGAGACTCACAAGGCTTTTTTTAAGTATACTAGGAACAAACAAAAAATCCTAACGGTGGTGGAGTTCCACTGCAAATCAATATGATAAAATTGTTACCAATGATGCAGAAAAGGCATTTCTGATTTTGGATAACACAGGATGTATCATCTTATGTGAAAAGGATCAACTACTCTTCAGTCCATTGGTTACTCAGGAGGAAGTTAAACCGCCTTTACTATTTTTATATCAGCAGTCCTCAATAGTTGATAAAACCACAGAATAAGAGAAATGTAGGGTTGGAAGGAACCTCAAGAGGTCATCTAGTCCATCTCCTCACACCAACGGAGGTTTAAGTATTCCTAGGCCACCCTGACAGATGTTTGTCTAACTTCTTGTGCAAAGTCACCAATGATGGGGATTACACAACCTCCCTACATACCCTTTTCCAGTACTTAATTACCCTATAGTTAGAAAGTTTTTTCTAATATCTAATCTGAATCTCATTTGCTACAATCTAAAATTATTGTCTAGTCCTACCCTTGGTGGATATGGACAACAATTGACAAACAACATTTCAGTTATTTGAAGACTTATCAGTTCACCTCTCAGTCTTCTCTTCTCTAAACTGAGAATGTCCAATTCTTTCAACATTTCCTCATAGATCATGTTTTCTAAACCTCTTACTCTGTTTGTTGTTCTCCTCTGGACATTTTCCAGTTTGTCCTTATCTTTCTTAAACAGTGATGAGAAAAACTGGACACAGAACTCCAACTGAGGCCACACCAGAGCTAAGTAGAGCAGGACAGTTACCTCCTGTGTCTTATTACATATAACATTCTTGTTAATACAACTCAGAATGACATTTCCCTTTTTTACAACAGCATCACAACTTTTCAGATTGTGATCCACTATAACCCTGAGATCACTTTCTGCAGAACTGCTGCCTTGTCAGTTATTCCCCCTTTTTTTTAATTTGAGTTTTCCTTCCTAAATCTAATACTTTGCACTTGTCTTTATTGAATTTCAATTTAGTGATTTCAGACCAATTCTCCAGTTTATCAAAATCATTTTGAATTTCAACCCTGCCTTCCAAAGAGCTTGTGACCCCTCTCAGCTTCATGCCATCCACAAATTATGTAAGTGTATCTCTACTCCATCATCCAAGTCATTTACGAAAATATTGAACAGTACCAGACCCAGGACAGTGTTCTTCTTTATTTATCCATAGGAACACAGCAATCACAGAGAAAAGAATAAAGCAACTGAAGGCCTACAGGCCTATGTCTCACCTAAACCTCAGTATTTCCCTCAAAACCTGGGGTGCCTCAGCTTATCCCAGGAACCCCTGCTTCTGGGGATTGTGTTTCAGTCTTCTTCTCTGCAGACCCTTCCTCACCCCCTCTGTTCATCAGGGCTCCCCTGTTAATAATTCCCAAGCTCTCTGTTTAAGGTTTCCCACCTCAGGGGTCCATCCCAAAGAAGGGGGCTTGTGCTCAGCTTGGCCAGATGCAAAAGTTCAAATACATGTATTGTCAGTTAAGTACCAGTAACTGGATTCTATGAAATCATTGTCTGGTGTCCTGCAACATGTTGGTAGCTCAGATGGGGGTTACCCTTTGAACCCTGGTAAGAAATGTGAAAATAGCAGTAAAAGGGATTGAGGTACACATAATATTCACAGAAATACAGATATAGCCCATGTTCTATGCAGGGGTCATAGTGGACAAAGAACTGAACATGAGCTCCCAGTGTGATGCTGCTGCAAAAACAACTAAGATGATCCTTGGATGTATAAACAGGGGAGCAATGAGTACAGCTGGCTGAGATGCAGGATTTCCAGTGTACAGGAAATTTCACTACTTTAAAATTCCCTGCGAATTGGAAATCCAGCTAAAATTTTGTTTTGGAAACTCCAGCCCATGGTGTAATCCGAACATGAAATTTGCTCCC